CCCAGAACTCTGCCCTTGTCACACACACACTCATCAGCCCCAGCTTATGTTGCTACAGCCAATGATACTGACTCTCCTAAGCGCATACTGTCAATAAAGCCCCCATGGGCCCATATTGAAGGACGAGTAGCATATGTCGGTAGAATGGTGGCTTATCTGATCCCGTTCCGTCCCACCCGCTATCATGAAGTCTTGAACCCTGAACAAAGGGATGTAAACCTTAACCGAATGGCACGAAGAATGGAGGTAAGCAGCTTAAAACCGTCCCAGACTTTGGCAACCTTTGGCTGAGGGTAGTAACCTACACGCAGAAGGGGAGTATCGAATGCACTGTCCATGCAGGACTGCATCTGGTGGTCAGCCTCGGGAAGGATTTGCCTTTGCGATCTGCCATCTTGTCACCGGTCTCGCTACCTCTGCTTTGTGAAGGCAGGACCCCAAGAAATTTCAACCAATAGGGGTGTAAACCAAGTCCCCTGGACTCAGGCACCCGGGGTCGAAGCTGGAGCCTCGAGTATATACACATGAACCCTCAGAAACCAGAACACCAATCCGCATCCGTGTCGGTCCTTGCAATCATTCCTTTCTCTAACGGGTACAGTACCTGCACTCCAAGCCAGATACGGGAGGTCCGAGATGCTGCACAGCTACCACCCATCATCCAGCATCAAATTAATTACGGCAAACGAATCGGAAAAACGCCAGATATCGCCTGAGGGAGCACAGCATGATGCCCGAATCCTAGGATATTGTTTTCTATGCCGATGATGCCACCCACACATTAACCCAAGCGGCTGGATTATGGAACCAACCTTGAAGTTTTGAGTCACAGTTTAGGTTTTGTCTCAGGGCTTTGGGTCCAAGGGCAAACTATTAGGTATTGCCAAAATGCCACCTTCGCGCCCCTGTTCAACATCTTCCTCGTTCAACCAACTCTGGAAAAAAAAACTTGACGCGTTGCGCGATCTTCGAAATGGCGTCTTCTGGGGAAGAAAATTCCCCAAGCACGCAAGCGCGGGAAGAAACCAAGCCAGTACCACTGGTTACCGAGAAGTCTTCTTCCTCACGAACGAACGAGCACGACACCAGCGATGGCCCTGAGGCGGACGATCCAGTCCCTCACCTGCACGCAAAGACCTTCCTGGCCGTTTTTGCCGTGTGTCTGATCTACATCGCCCAACTGATCAGTCTCGTTGGGGCAGGAGCTGTGAGTTCCTTCGCTCTTTCCCAAACTCTGGAATCCAAATGCACCACTTGCCTTCCTTCGCACGTTCACTCCTTCCCTCGTTTCCTCCCTCCTTCACAAGCTGAGGCCCAACTCCCCAAGTCTCAACTTCCACTTGCAGTCTCCCAACCGCCTATTACTCCTTCTATTCCCAAGAAAAGAACTATTCGGCACCCCTTCGGTTCCGAAAAACTTGCGCCCTGCTGACCTCTTTCTCCGCCCTAAACAGCAAGGCCAAACAATAGCCTCCCACTTTCACTCCGCCCCCCAAGCGATCTGGTTCTCCGCGCCCATCACCATCCTCACCGTCGTTTTGGGTCCCATCATCTCCCAAGCAGCCGACTACTGGGGCCGGAAATACTTCCTTATCATCCCGACCTTCGTCGGCGGCGGGATCGGTAGTCTCGTCGTGTCTCGTGCGAGAGCCATGCCCATCGCCATTTTGGGGTTCAGCATAATTGGCATCGGCTTTGGTTCGCAACCTTTGCTGCACGTGGTCACGAGCGAGGTGTTACCTAGGAGATGGAGGGCGTGGGGCCAGGCGGCGGATATGGCTAGTAATGCATTGGGCGCGGCGGTGGGACTTTATGTAGGTGGCGCGTTGAATAGAACCAACAATCCGGCGGCGGAAGGGTTTAGGATTTATTTCTTGATGAATATGGGGGTTTATGTAGTTGCTGCGGGACTTTGTTGGGGGGGTTATAACCCGCCGCTGAGGCCGTTGCAGACGGAGCTGAGTATGAGGGAGAAGCTGGCGCGGTTGGATTGGGGCGGGTATGGGTTTTTGGCGGTTGGGTTGGTTCTTTTCTCTGTTGGACTGTCGTACTCTGAGAATCCGTATGAGTGGAGTGATCCGCAGGTTTCGGCTACCTTTGCCGTGGGAATGTTGTTTGTGATCGGGTTGGTGGTGTATGAGACATGGGTGAAGAAGGATGGGATGTTCCATTATGGCCTGTTTTCGGGGAATCGCAACTTTGCCGTGGCAATGTTTTGCGTGTTCTCGGAGGGCGTGGCGTTCTTTGCGGCCAACACGTATTTTGCTTTTCAGGTCAGCGTGTTGTACGAGTCGGACGCGCTGCTGGTTGGGGTGAGGTACAGCCTGATGATGATCATAGCTGCGGTCTTTGCCTGCTTGACGGGGTGGTATTGCGCAGCTACAAGACGGGTGAAGTGGGCGACCTTTGTGGCTTTTGGGCTGTTTATCGTCTTCTTCATATGCATGGCGACGACCACGAGAAAGTCCAACACGCCGACGTGGGGCTATACGGTGTTCTTGGGCAGTGCGTTGGGTGTGACTCTGACAACACTTGTCACTGTCGCGCAATTATCCACGCCGCCAGAGCTGATCAGTGTTGCCAGTGGACTGATCATCAGTATTCGTTCGCTAGGTGGCACTGTTGGGTTGGCTATATACAACGCGCTTTTCCACGACGTGATGAAGAACCTAGGGAGCAACATTGGAGCTGCGGTTGTGCCAAAGGGGATCTCGCCCGATGATGTTGAGGTCTTTGTCACAGCACTTGAAAGCCAAAATGAGAAGGCGCTGGATACAATACCGGGGGTGACGGCGGATATCATCCAAGTCGGTGTCATTGCTTTGCAAGACACGTATGTCATGGCATTCAGGCACGTATGGATTGCTGGTGCCTGCTTTGTCGCGCTGGCTGCTCTTGGTAAGTTAAACCGAGCCCTTCGCCAGACGTGCCTTATCATGCTAACATATCGCTTTAGTATCTCTTCTTTTGCTCGACCCCAAAAAGGAGTTCAATATGCACATTGACGCACCTGTTGAGAAGGAAGAAGATTTGTATTCCGTCTGATGTTGAGGAGTGTCTTGATGCTCTTCATTCACAAGGGGGTGGATAAGTTGCAGATTTGATCCATGCCCTTAGCGCCCGAAGGCCCGAAGGCATCTGTCGTTGAGCAGCTGGTATACCGGGAGAAAACCACGTTGCCACCGATACATGGACCTTTGGTTTCAGCTTTTGTTCATGGAGTTTTGGGCTTCTGTCTCCTGAACAAACAAATTTCAAGACTCCGAGGAGATCAGGGATTGAGGCACGAAGACCAAAGAATCCTAAGCATTGATGCCAGTATGGGGGTTCTACAATATTTGGGTGCCTTGGTCGAAGGTAGTGGAACGTCCTCTAAATCATGACTTGATATGAATGACAAGCTTCTCGTTTGAGCATCAAGACACATGGAAGGCAGTGAAGAAGATACGGCCATGCACTTGGTAGCCTTCTCGAAAGACTGGAATCAATCTTGATTGAGCTTGCTGTCTGCCAGCCACGTTTTATAATTTCGCGTCTCGTAAGCCTCTCCTTTTCTTTGACTGACAAGGCGTGTGTTACAAGGCGGGTTGTCCCGCTGCGTTCTTCCCGTGATTGAGATTGACGAGAGTAAGTGTTGTGTATCCGTACATCTGAGCAACGGTAAATCCATGGGACTTATTTTGGTAGTCGCAAACAGTGAACGGAACAGTTGCGATGTTAATTGGTCATGAAGAGAATGTGCCCTTGAGGGTCCAGATTCTAGAGATGAAATCCATACTTGCCTCATCTTCATATGTTCCTGCTTTGCCGTTACCCACGTATGGTCCAGCCACTTGACATGGCTTTTTCCCTGATCAGCCAATCTCCAACCATTTCCTGGACGTTGACAGCGACACCAGACGTGAAGATTCATGGAAAATAGAAGATCCGGCTCATAGAGGAGTAAAAGAAAGTCCATAGTGCAATATGAATGCTCAAGGTCCACCACACCATACATGCGTCGTCTTGTTCCCAACAGCTCACAACTCGAACTGCAACGTCACAGCAAGAAAACTCTTTCAAGATAACCCCGCAAAGTATTTAGAATTAAGTGCATCGCCAAGTGCCACGCTGGTGGTGAAATCGGTCACAAGGCAAGAAGAAGGCAAGATGAAGGCAGGGTATATGAGATGAAATGACCCGCTTGGGCTTCGCTGTGTTGATGACTGGTGTTCACCTACGAGTGCATCTGCCACAGTGCATTGTTCACGATGCAGATACCCGGGAGTCTGGGTCGTGTCCGCGTCCTCCTAGGCTGGCCGTTCCAAGCTTTTCGTCTCCTCTTTTTCTGCATGTTGGTTGATAGTCGATAGCGGATCGCTCTTGAGTTGTAGGTATGGTGCCGCAACACCTCGCGGTGGTGATGCGAAGGAGAGAGTTCATCTCGCTTTCTGCTGTCTTCCTCAGTGCAGCCACCATGATGTATCCAGGCCAACATAGACACTGTTGAAGATGTCTACGTCGCACATGGGCGTTCCAGAACCGTTCGCTTTCAGGTTTCAACATGGAAAGCCATGTGTTTATCGTCATGGGCCTCAGCTTCCGGTTGCTTGTGAAGAGGGTGATGCCGTGAGAGGGGGCAGGCCCATTCTAGAGGCCAGGGTTACATTGTAAGGTGGTAGACGAAGTGTAGCTCGGTAGGTATACCTGCACCACGATAAGTGTTAGCAATTGTAATTCGAAGACTTTGCATATAGGTTCTATCACCTCTCGGATCATCACCAGTTTCTGCGGGTTATCGTCTTGGACTTCTGGTGGCATGCATGTGGCACCAGATTGTGAAATTTGATTCCTTCCTTCCCCTGAGTTTGTGTCTTTCGAGGTGAGTGCGGCCCGTCGTGCTTGCCACACCTTCTCGGGAAGATGGCTTTCCTCTGCAAGACTTGCTGCATCTTTGAACGTCTGTCAGAACCTTGTTCGGGTGTTGTCGTGGTGGGCAATCGTGGACGATGAGACGAAGTCATTTTGCAGCTTGATGTTTGTTTGTGATAACTCAACTAGCAAATGACATATTGGAAAAAGCTGGCCCCTTTTCAATCTCGCTACGGTCAACATTCCAGAAGGACAAGGGAAAACCCCCGTCGGTGTGGGAAGGGATGCATGTCAATGCCTAGCATCAGCAAACAAACAGATCTGGTATCGCTCACCTTAAACCCTAACCCGCGTCCAGAAGTGCCATTCTTGAGGACGGCGACACAGTAAAGACGTTAGGTGGACGAGGGTGATGACCGTCAACCGCAACACCCACCGTCCGGCTTACCCGACCAAAAAATGATTCCAAAAAATCATGAAGGTTTCGATTGGCTGGTCGATGACGATTTCTCACATCAGCAGAAGCGGCTGGGGGCAAGGCGTAGCTGGCAATGCTGTTTGAAAAAGATTCCGAGTTGGGGCTCGCCCGAAAGGCAGCATGGCGTCCAAGTGGAAGACGTGGTGGTGTTGACGAGAAAAGGAATGATTGACACTGCAGGTCTCATTGACTTCGTTTGAGTATCGAAACGAAGCCACATTGGTGATGACTGGTGGCCTTCTGGTGGCCTTCTGACGGGCTCTTTCCTCAGTGGACGGAACCTCCGAAACAACAATGGATGGAGGCCATTTCTGTCATGGAGTGAACATGCACACAGCCGTCCAATTTTCGGAGCAGATACCTTGTCTTTTTGACTGTCACTTCTATAGACCATAAGCTGGGCCTTGTCGTCGTGAAAATTATCACCAAAATTGACAGATCTGTTTCTTTCTCCAAAATGGCTGCGGGAAATCATGGCAAGGGAACGGATGTCATGTTACAATACCTCGCGGGTCTCGGGCTCTTGGGTGCTGCCGTTGGTGCAGAAGCGCAGGCGCGGCTATCGTCTTGTTGGTAACATGGTAGCATCGCCTCCATTTCTCTTCTCACGAGACTGAACAAGACCGAGGAAGAGAGGCTTCGGACTGCAAGCTTGCGTGGGGTTTTTGAAGTGGCCACCGGCCCCCAAGTGTGGTGAAGATCCAGAGGCTTGGAAGTCAAAAGATGGATGTGCCATGGGAATCGTGTGCTGTTTTTGGTGGTGCTTTCCATTGTCGCACTGCCTGTGACACACGAAAACTGAAGTGCGAAAAGTGATGCCTGACATTTGGACATGGCTGATGCGTGTGGAAGTGGAAGTTAGGTCGGACGTTTGCCCCTGCCTGGGCAAGGGTTGTCGAGATTACTCCTCTAGAATCGGTGGTGGTTGCTGGAAAGAAGGAAGGGAGGGTTTCGCACACGGGACGAGAGAAAGTTCCCGTCGGCATGGGATGGAAACCCGCACGGGATGGATGGGCCCAGGAGCGATCATGACCCGGTACTATTCGAAGTGAAAATACAGCGGCTTACAGCGGTATTAACGTGAAATGAGCTGGGCTGTTGAGGACTTATGGCATGTAATGTTATTCATTCGCGGATCATCTCGCTATCGCAGTAACGGATCATGCAGAGTGCACTAACTCCAAGCTGAATAGAGTGTTTAGAGGCGGGACGGCCCCAATCGGATGTTTGATGCCAAGCCTCTAGTGCACCAACACAGCCCGCTCCCCGCCTTCCCGTTGGGGTCTCTATTTTTGTGTTTGCTCTTGACCCAATCTTGGCTTCTTGTCTCCGCATTCTCCAAAAAACAAAACACATCGTGATGATGGTGTCACCACTGCACTCACCACTCACTCTCAACGACATGCCTCGATCTCACCAAATCTGATCCTCCCACGCACGGCGATCCAGCCCAAACTACAAAGCCACCACATCTCAACATGCGCAAGGCTTGCAATGAGAGCTCTTCGTCAATTTGAAAGTCCGCCACCGATACAATGACGACCAAGCGGTTCATGTCCAAGGTTGCTCTTACCATCTGGTCTTTGTTGTGGACTGCTGCAGTGTTCTTTGTCACGCACCGGCCAGGCGAGCCAGGCCGTTGACCCCGTCTCGTCCATCAAATGATTACCTGACAGTTGTACACACTAGAGTACCTCCCCCTGCTGGTCAACTCAACTTGTTCCCATTCGGTTGTAGGGGTCTCGTCCTTTTGGCTGGCTCTTTGGCTGGCCGCCTTTCCCGCTATTGATGGCTATCCTTCTCTTCTCCTCTTCCCGTCAGGCATCCGCCAACAAGCCGTCAGTCAACCCGTCACATTTCACCGCCAGCACCGAGTGAATGCTGTGATGCAGGTCGTAGCAGAAGTGGAAGGACAATAGTGTCGTCTGCAGTCGACCCTGGGCGAGAACAACACAAATTCCACGAACCCCTCGCCTCGCTGGGCGGACTGTTTAGCACGTTGGAGTACACACTGGAAACACTGCATCTCCTCGTCCTCCCCTCGTGCTGGAATCCAATCAGAATCGTGCTGCCTTCGGGCCAAGCTTTCCATGTCAGCTTTTGGCTCATCCTTTGATGGAGCCTTCTTCACTTGTCGTTACTCCTTTGGGTAAGGTTGATTTCAGCCCATCAAGCCCGCTCTACGGTGACGATCCTGGTACGTCTTAGTCCCGGGTTCAGTATCAACTGCACTCGTCTTCCGGCCATTGTTCTTACTGGCCTATCCTCCACAGCCATTGGAATCCCGTCAGCCATCATCTGATGTAAAAGCTTTGGAATTCCCTTACGTACGTACAGGTTCCTGAACCTCTTCCTTTCATCTCTTCTCGTCGTCAACCTCTCTCGTCCAGTCTCAAGCCTTCCTCTTTTCCCCATTTCTTACTCCGATCCTTCTATCGGTCTCATCATGGCGAGTGTAATCCAAGCACTTATCGGATACTATGGGCTCTCGTGCCCAGTTGGTGGAAGTGCCTACATCTGCCCCGACTTCACAACCGAGTTTGTCGGTTGCTGCACCGTCAATCCATGCACCAAAGAACGAGATGGTGTCTGCCCGGACGACAAACTCCGAACTGCTACCTTCTCATCCACGAGATATCAGGAGATTGAGGCGCAAGCCTGCAGTGTCGTACCTGAAGAAGCAAAATGGTATACTTGCACTGGACCCAAACCTCCGTTCTTGGGCTGTTGCGCGTCAAATCCATGTCCAACTGAGACGGGCTGCCCAGCCGACGACTTGAGACCCGCGGTGCTGAACAACTTCGCCGAACATCCAGGCCCATGGAACCGTCATCAGTTCCTAAACCCCACCGGGTCCGGCATTAGTTACGACAACAGTAAAGCCGAGACCAACAGTACCAGCACCAGCACCAGCACGAGCGAGCCCACTGGCAGCAGCACAAACCGGCCTGTCAGCAACACAGATAGCCCAAACGGAAGCGGAGGACTATCCACTGGCGCTATTGCCGGCATCGCTGTAGGCGCTGTTCTTGCAGGCCTGGTCATCCTTGCCGCAATTATGTGGAAATGCGGATGGTTCCCAAGGAAGAAGAAGGTGGAGGAAAACAAGCAGGAGGCGGATGTGCCCGGAGCAGCCATGTCTCACGCGGGCCCCATGTCTCCTATGGCTCAACAAGCATACCCACATCAAGGGCCTCAAGGTTACGGATATGCTGATGAGAGCGGACGATCGGTCATGAGCAGCCCAAGCACAGGCTACATCCGAGGTGAGAGCCAAGCGTCTATTCTCCGATATTCCTTCCTGCCATCCTCCTGATCAGACTGGCTAATGCTCAGTCTCTCAATATGCAGACTCCTATGTGAGTGGCGTCACTGCTCCCGGCAGCCAGTATGGCGCTCTTTCTCCCGCCCTTTCCAAGGCAGGTCTCCATAGCCAGCATGCGTCTCCGGAACTCAAACAACAAGGCTTCGATCAAAAGTATGGCTACAACGGCTACAACGGCTACCCGAACAACGGCTTGGGACTAGATACAGTTTCCGAGTTGCCTGTTACAAATCACCATCACGGCGCGCAGGAACTGCCTGCGGGGAACTATCCCGGCTTTGAGATGGACGCCGGCGCCGTTCAGCCCCCACAGGCCCAACCCCAACAACAACAACCGCATGTCAGTCCTCAGGAAGGTGATCGGCTAGACGTCACCCAGGAACAAGCTACTCAGCATGGCGAAGAGAGGAGGAACTGAGCAAAGGGAGAACCAAAACGAAAAGGAGGGCTGGGTAGAGAAGGGAATATGGAGGGAGCCATTGCCCATGGAGAAGATGAGATCATGCACATTTCAGGATACCACGGCGTCACGGCGAACAGGGGCATCGGACGTTATAGATGCATACATTGTACTCCCCAAAACCGGGGCCTTAATGCGGATGTCAACGTTTTACGACATCTGTATAATACTTTATCAGCTTTTGCCAATTCTATCGTATATACCTTTCCTCTTGCCCCTGCCCTCTCATTGCAGCTTCCCTCATTCTATCATATTTGGGAATTTTCATCTGATATTCAAGGCTCTTCTATAGTGTAGAGGTATATACAAGTTAACACTCAAAAACACTAGAAGGCAAGTACTAAGAAGTCCCTATCCCTAAGATGGCCTTTTACATATAAGCTAATGACCATTCTAACCAGGACCCAGGCTCTATACCGACCTTCTACACGCAACATATTGCTTCAATCGCTCCTCCTCTTCGCCCATGGAGAACTTGAACCTGCATCCAAATATAATGTTGACTCGGTAGTAAGTAAGATGCTAGTCCCCTACTCCAACAATATCCAAGACCATGGCTAATACTGGCAGCTGAACCATTGCCGAGCGGCCAAGTTAAGAAGAAGTATATACAGATATCGAGCCTTTTCAGTCTCATGAGTCGATTACCATCGACAATCAACCGAACGACCCAAAAAGTTATTCACAAGAAGCTCCCACTGCTCATCACAACCTGAGGACATGACCTTTCCAGGTCTCAACCCTCACCCATCATCCCCCTCATACCTGGCTTACAAGCACTGCGAGTAATACTCATTAGTAACCTTGCAGCTCGACCCACTAGCGCAGCTCGTGCACCCGCTATAGCCAATACCGCCGCACTGGCCGTACTTAGCCACCGAGCAGCCGGAGGGGGAAGTGGGCTGGCTGCCCGCGGCCGTGGTGCTGGTCTTGGGGGTGGCGACGGTTGTGGTCTTGAGGGTGGTGGGGTTGGAGGGCGTGGAACCACCGCTGCCACCGCCGTTGCCGGAGCCGGAGCAGGTGAACTCGGCGGGGCCGGGGACGGTGTAGCTGTTGAAGTTTGAGTAGATCTGTTGGTTGTTTTGGTCAGTTTCAAAGAGGCAAGGAAAGAGGGCATAGGGTGGTGGAAAGGAAAAGTTGGGGATGACGGGAGCGCCCGGTCTTCCAGTGAAAGAAGGAGCGGGTGGAAAAGTGGGAAAGAGCGAGGAGTCGAATTGTTCCGGACCCCGTTTTCCTTCCTCCTTCTTGTCTCGCCTTGGGAAGGAGTGGCCCGGTAATCTGCAAAGAGAGAAAGAGAGGGAAAGAAAACTTACGTTGGCGGTGTAACCGGGATCGGTCTCCTTGAAGGCCCCAGGGATAGAGACAGTAGCGGGGGAAGCGCTACCACCGCCCGTCACGGAGATGTGAGCGCAGGAGAGGTAGAACTGGGGGATACCTGCGGGCCAGGGGCTGTTCACGGTTGTGTTAGCTCTTATGTCCTTCACTCCATGTCCTCAATCACGGCGCGGGAACAAGTTCAACTTCACTCACTTGTGGATACCAATCTGCTGGATACGCAAAAGGTAATCACCCGAGGGAATGCACGACGGGATCGTGAAAGTGTAAGTATCCGACAAAGTCCAGCCACCACCGGGGAAGGTAGCGCCAAAGTCCTTGATCTTGAACCAGCCGCCGGAGCCATCATAGCTGGACAGCGAGCCGGGAGCCTTGGAGAGGTAGATGGAGGTGGGGCCCTGGTGGTAGACGGGCGTGTCGGTCTTGAAGGTGACCGTCCCGCCGGCAGCAACCGACAAAGTTTCGACACCGGAAGCGCTGGCGCCGACGTTGCAACGGAGGTCGTTGGAGGTCAGGTCCGTCACGGGCGAGTTGTAGTTGGTGTGCTGGCGGATGTACTTCCATGTCGGGTTGACGGTGGTGCCGGTGCCGACTTGCTGGAAGATGTAGTGGGCCGAGGCCTCGCTGGCGGCGAGGAGGGCGGCAGCGACGGTGAGCTTCATGTTGGACTAGGGGTATTGGTGTGATGTGATGTCGGGTAAGGAGTGGACTGTCGAAGCTAAGTTGACCGGGCTGGCAGGAAGATCTGAAGTCTGGCTGGAGTCTTAGGCTTGAGCGAGGAGAGCAAAAGGATATATGACCGAGTGGTGGGCGTCCCGGCCGGATATATACCACTTGGACCTAGGAACCATCATCCGGTCCCGAACCACGCAGGCTTGCATACATCGATCACAAAGCTGGTCATCTGAGATATTGGAGGATGGGAAGCCCCCACCACGACGGCGACACCGACTCAGGATTTGGCATCAACGTTGCATGGCACAACAAACAGCGGCCCGGTAACCGGAGTCACGATGTCTACAAGGCATGCTGGGACCTGGGTAAGTGAAGGCTTGGTGCTCTATCAAACCGAGCGGTATTCGTGCCGAGCGTGTCGAGGCGGTTCCCGTTTCGGACATCGACGTCCGCCCTTCCCAAACGGGTTCGAGGTCGTGATTGATGCGGACCAATGGGGATTCAAGGGTTAAATTGACGACCATGCGAAAAGCTTCCATGCACCCCACAACCGGGTTGTGAATGTTTTGTTCAAGCTTAGCTCCGGGTTGCTTTGGTGATCCAGCGTCACCTTCTTGGCATCAATCGTGGGTTTCGGAACGTGGCCCTCCTCGTCTAGGCATGTCTAGAGCCTGGGCAGCGATCGGAACCACGGGACCGCAAGTCGAAAACTCCACATGTTCTCATCAACATCCTCGTCCCCCGGCGACGACGTTTCATGAAGAGGTTCAATGGACATGCCTGACGTCAATCCGCCTTTCGCTTCGCTGCATCTATAGCATTGGTGATGGTCGGCAGTTGGCTGTGGGCAATATAAACCTTGTCAAACGATGGCCTTGTTCATATTGGGTGCGTATAATCGGGAATTGCAAAGGAAACAGCAATTATGCGTGGGCTGGAATGCATAAGGGGTGGAAATATGAACATCTGCCAAGGCGGGTTGTATTCAAATCTACCTAACCAAGTACATTAGTATCGAAGAAACATAACCACAAACGCGTCCCAGTTACTCTCCGAGGTTCCAGTCCAAATCCAAAAGCTGATTAATCATCCGTCTCGAGAATACCCTTTGCAGGCTTCCACTCAAAGTGATGGTCACCCGTCACCGGCTTACCCGGCTGGGCCGTCTTCAGGTCGAACATATGTGCTCCGAAGTAGTCCAACTCGGCCTCCTGGAACTGAGTGGGCAATTCAGTTGACCCCGAGTACTTGTAGTACTCCAAACTGGTACCCAATGCCCCAGCATGCAAGTCAAACTCAATAGCCTTCAAGACAACCCGCTTGAGCGCCGGATACGTCTTGGCGAGCTCGCCAGCAATCATCTTGTGACCAAGGAGATCATCGTTATTGTGTTCCCTCGATCGGTACACGGTCTCGAGAAGATCGACGACTCCATCGCTCTGGATGATGCATCCCTTGCGCCATAGCTGCAGCACATCTGCGAAGTCGAGCTTCCAGTCGTTTTCCTCGTTGGCCTTGGAGAGAACATGCAGTCCTTGGATAAAGCACATGAGGAAGGAGGCATAGACAGCGTTGTACAAGTCGTCCATGAACTTGTCCTTGTCGACACCCTCCATTCGGGCCGGCTTCACCCCCTTTCCTTCCAACGCCTTCTTGACCGTTTGTCTCCGTGCAGCATCCGCCGAAGCCACTCTGAACAAATGCGAGACTGCAATAGTTGGGTCCGGGACATGGAGTCTGGTGCCTTCCTGGACTGACCACGTCCCGGTACCCTCGGAGTTGTCCACATCCTGAACAACCTTGTCACGCACGTTGGCGAGCACATAGTTGCCCTTCTCATCCTTGGTTCGACAGATATCGGCACCGATATTGATCAAGAAGTTGTCCCTCAAAGGCTTCTCCTTGTCACCGTTCCACTTCTCAAACACGGCGCCGATCTCCTCGTACTCCATGCCCAAGCCGATGTTCATGATGGCCCAGGCTTCGCAGAGGGCAGTCATCATTCCGTGCTCGATACCATTGTGGATCATCTTGACATAGTGTCCACATCCTCCAGGTCCAAGCTTGGCAACACATGGCCGACCCTTTGTGTCTTTACACGCGATTTTTTGGAGGAAGGGAAACACCTTGTCCAGAGCCTCCTTGTTGCCACCAGGGGAGATGGAAGGGCCATGGCGAGCAGACTGGTAACCTCCAGAGACACCCATTCCAATGTAATGGATTCCCTTTGGCTCAAGGCGGCCCTGTCGTCTCTCGGTGGCCTTCCAGTGCTCGTTGGAGGCGTCCATGATGATGTCGCCTGGCTTGAGGTAGGGTTCGAGGGCATCGATGCTATCGTCAGCAGCACCGCCGTGGGGGATACTGAACATGAAGACCTTGGGGTTATCTCCATCCTCGAGAGCCTCGCAAAGAGACTTGTGGTCACCGTGGTAAGTGATCTTGTCCTCATGCTTGCTTTCCTTGGCGTGGGACTGCAGGGCTTCGACGTTCTTCTTGGACGGGTCGTAGTAGTGCGTGTGGATCCCGTGCTCGGCGAACAGGAGCGACATCATGCCACCCATGCTGCCGGTTCCGATCATACCAATCTGGACGTACTAGCGTCATCAGCTGGACCGTTTGCGCGGAGTGTCTGGGGAGCATCGCGTACCTTTTTGACGTCCATTTCGTCCGATGCTTGCCGGGGTTAGGGTTATGTACGAGGCGGTGTAAGGTGTTGAGATGTTCTTTGATCGCAGTGTTTGCAAACGCCTGCAGCGCAATCGTTTGTGTGAAATTGTTGAAAGAAAGAGGATGACTCTCTTTGCTCTTTCCTTCAATTCTCTCGATGCAAATGTCTTCTTCGTTTAATATGAGCTGAGGATTCTCGTTCCCCTTGATGTTTGTCCTTCACGGAGAGGAAACCGTTAAAGTGGGGCAAATGGAGCTGTCATTGTGGGACGACCGCTTGGGGTGACAATCATTGACATCATCGATAGCCAGCAAGGTGCCCGCTGTAATTCTAGAGTGCAGCTACCAAAAACTGCACAGGAACACCAGCAACACCCAAACACCAACAAAGATATCGCAACGAAGCTCACACCTAGATTTCCGTTTACAACCATACCCCTAGTTCAATCCGATCTTCAAGTCTAAGTCCAAGTACAGCAAAGCACAATGCCGTTCGCCCTCGCCTCCTGTTCCATCGGCCTCCCCAAACACACGCTTCACCAAAAGATCGAAGCCATCCGCCACGCTGGCTTCGACGGCATCGAGCTCTCGTTCCCCGACCTCCAATCCTACGCCAATCTCCATTTCGGTCGCGACATTGCCGAGGACGACTACGACACCCTCTGCGAAGCCGGGCAAGCAGCTCGCCAGCTTGTCGAGCGCCACAACCTCAAGATCTTCGTCCTACAACCCTTCTCTAACTTTGAAGGATGGCCCGAGGGCAGCGAGAAGCGCAAGGACGCCTTTGCGCGCGCAAGAGGATGGATACGAATCATGGAAGCCGTGGGCACCGACATGCTCCAGGTTGGCTCGTCTGACTCCGAGGGCATCGCTACTGACCCGGACCTAGTGGCGGCCGATCTTCAAGAGCTGGCGGACATGCTGGCCGAGAAGGGGTTCAAGCTTGCGTACGAGAACTGGTGCTGGTCCACGCACGCCCGAAGTGGTCGGATGTCTGGAACATTGTGCAAAAGGTGGACAGGCCCAACGTTGGGCTGTGCCTTGATACCTTCCAGTCCGCGGGCGGAGAGTGGGGAGATCCTACGACCGAGTCTGGTAGGATCGAGACGCCGGCTATCACGGAGATGGAGTTGTCTGTCAGATACAGAGCCAGCTTGAAGGAGTTAGCGGAGACGGTGCCGGTCGACAAGATTTTCTTCTTCCAGATCAGTGATGCGTACAAGGCCCAGCCGCCGCTGGAGGACAAGCCCGATACGGAGTCGGGGTTGCGACCAAGGGGACGCTGGAGTCACGACTATCGTCCACTTCCTTACGACGGTGGTTACCTCCCTATTGAGCAGTTTGCAAAGGCAGTGCTGGACACGGGCTTCAAGGGATGGTTCAGTGTGGAAGTGTTTGATGGGAAGTTCGAGGAGAAGTTTGGTCAGGACTTGAACAAGTATGCCGAGAAGGCGATTGATTCTTGCAAGGAGCTACTATCGAAAGCAAAGGAGACACAGTAAATGTCAGGAAGACAACTGCGGCAGCTTTTACCCTACACGACACCTAAAAGTCAACACAGCAAATAATGTCTGCCCGCATTTCCTCACGCGCATCATCTTTCTCGAATCGTTCCTTGCTTCACCTTTTTTTCTGTGGCTTTATTGTTTGCATGCAATATTTAGCGGCGTGTTGACAACGGCGGTAGGCTGAATGTCAATAGCACTATCCTTTTCGTCATCCTCGCCCTTCTTCAACGTCCCTCTCTCACTCCGTAGTTGGGGTATCGCTGTGATCTCCGTCCACCCTATGACGACCAGTAACCCTTGCAAAAACCCCCTCGATCATGGCATACTTCTGCTGATCCCTCTTCGGCATCAAGATCTTCTTCCTCTTCGGGAACTCCTCTGCCGAGAACTCCTGCACATACAGACCCTCACGCGTCCACTCCTCAAACTCCCACGAGGACTCAAACTTCTTCTTCTTCTCCTCATGCGCCCGCACGCGTTCCTCGCAACATTCCAGAGTCGCCTCCATCGAAGCCAAATTATCTATGAAGAAACGCAAGTGCGAGACCGCGAGCTCCAAGTCAAAGTGCTTGTCAACCATGAAATCCTACTTCATGCGTGAAAAAGACCTGCTGGCGGCGCGCATATCGTGGGTCTCCTTTGCCAGCACTTTGACGCAGTCGAATAGCTTCTTCCGATTGCTCTGGCCATCGTCCTTGTAGTCCTTCACCCACTGCTCACAGCCCACACGGAGCTGCGTCATCAGGCTGAGCGAGAGGCCGTCGATGTCCAAGGGTTGATCTGGGCCATGGTGAATAGGCCTGGCGGCGGTCTGCTTCACCTTCTCCTTCCAGTCGTCAAGGCTCTCACAGAGCTCGATGAAGCGCAGATACGGAGACTTGGAGCCCTTGCAGAGTTTGGTGGTTCGCGGGGAAAATTTCAGGTCAGGGTTGGCCACTGTCAAGTTGAAATGGAAAATGGTCAGGTACAGCTGAAGCGAGTGATTGCCGCGCGGAAAGCGCTTGCCTAAAATGGTAGTACATACATTGTGCCTCCCAAACGGCGATGCGGTCAGCTTCAACAAGGAGCTCGGCTTGCGGGTGAACGGGGTAGTTGCTCCTTCCATCCATGATCTCGTTGTACACGTCCTCCACCATCTTCTTGTGTCCATCGTGGATTCTGATGTCCTTCTCCTCCAGAAACTCCTCAGCTTGCTTCAGCTCTCTCTTCCGCCTGATCTCGGCGATGCTGCCCAAGTGCGCGCGAATATCCTCGCGCGAAGAAGTCACGCAGGTGAACACGCCGTCCTCCTTGACTGCCTTCATCTTGGTTTGCACTCTCTGGGGAATTCAGGAGGGGAAAGCAGATGCGTGTCTCGAGGCAAGAACGACCCTGCTACTTATTACGACAGAGGGAAGTCTCTCTCTTGAAATTGATCTGCGGGCGCGCCCAATGAGAGCGCTATAGTGGATGTCAGTGGAAGGAAATTGTTGAGGAAGAAAAGGAGGAATGGTAAAGGATTGCGATAAACGGCAAGTGCATATATACCTTGAACTCTTCGATGAAAGTTTCTTTACTGAGAGGGGGCCAGAACCAGAAACAAGGCCAAAAGGAAGCGCAAGCGGAGCTTGATTTGATTCAAACCCCAACGCCGTTTCAGCGCGCGCTCCTTGTTGTATGGGTCTTAAAGTGCGGGTAGGTTTTCTCCTCTTGAAGGGGAGGATGGGTTGAGCCCCCAATGAGAGCAGCTTTTTGTGGTGAAAGAGTGTTAGGAGACTCTCCTTCTTCAAAGGAAGGCGGATTAAGTATAGGATTGCGCGAAAGTTGAGTGTCTACATACCTTGAACTCTTCGATCGCGGCGCGCCCTCTGGGGGCAGGAAATCCGGACGCCAAATGGCTGTCCGTAGTTGTGGCCCGTGAAGTACGGAGGCAAGTTGTACGCAGCAACACAAGTGGCGCAGTTGCAGTCACCGGAGAGGGAATGCAAAGTTGTCGAGGGCAGCGACAATAGTCTCGATGTGGCGCTCTTCCAAATCCCGCGCTCTTAGGCGTAACATAGGAAGAGGGTCAGTAGGTGAGTATGGACGGAGAGCTTTTTAAAGAAGGCGCATCTGGTAGACGAGCATACATTTACACTTGCGTGCCAGGTTGGAGACGTAGTAGTTGGGGTATTTCTGGTATGCGGCGTGTGATATGTTTTGGTGTTGGTGCCGTCAAGAAGCAATGACTTGTTAGAAAGTTGAAGTGAGGTGAGAGGAGCTGCTTCTCGGTAGTGTGTGAAGAAGTAGAGGGAAGTGACGCGAAGGGAAGGGAATTCTTTGACTTGTGGTCGAGGTTTCTGGATCAACCGGCTAGGGCTGTGGCTGGGGGTAGGGCTTTCTGCCAGCTGGAAAGCACGGGAGTGACGAGCGCAAGAAAGGCAGGCAGATGACGGCTGGGGAGGGTGGCTGGTGCTCGCTCTTGCTGGCCCTCTACCCGTATTCATCGTACTGGGAGTTACGACTCGCTGCCTCGGGTGTATTGGACCTGCCTGCTTCCGGCTTCTCGTGCTAGTTGACCATATCTTCACGTGTGGCGCCCTCTGGACATCATCATCAGCAACATGTTCACCCCCACTCGCGTCAAGGACGGGGGTGTCATGCCATCTGACTAACTTTTACCCCAGGCTCTAGAGACGGAACTTGACTCTCGCCGCGGCATAAGATGCGCGTTTGTACAGGTGGGTAGCCCTCCAACAAAGATTCTAGACTGCACCAGTTGTCACACGGACATTCGACCTC